GTGCACCGACAATCCTACTCGACATGCCCCCCGGATGGACGGGTATTGAAATAATGACATTCTAAGATGTCAGACTTATTAATAGGACCCTGATACGGACCCGCAAGAACAAGTTGCAGAGTGGTCCGGCCGACTTTGCCATACACACGATAGACTGTGGAACCATAGGAACCACCGCGACCGGAGCTACTAGGCTCGAACATTGTTCGAGTCGAACACTACTACTACCATATGACGGTTTCCGATCATGGAAGGTGGTTTGTGGCGACTCCCTCCGAGGAAGTCCCTCGAGTGACGGCCTTATGACTAACACTGCTACTACCATACGGCCATTTCTCATCAAGGAAGGTGGTGTGTGGCAACTCTCTCGACTGATGCCCTTATGGCCGACACTACTAATACCATACGACCGTTTCCCAGTAAGGAAGGTCGTGTGTGGCGACCCTCTCAAGTGATTGCCTTATGACCAACCCTACTACCATGCGACCGTTTCCGATCAAGGAAGGTGGCTTGCGGCGACTCTCTCGAGTGATTGCCTTATGACCAACCCTACTACCATGCGACCGTTTCCGATCAAGAAAGGTGGCTTGTGGCGACTCTCTAGAGTGATTGCCTCATGACTAACACGACTACTACCATGCGACCCTTTCCGATCAAGGAAGGTGGTGTGTGGCAACTCCCTTCGAGTGACGGCCTTATGACTAACACTGCTACTATCATACGGCCGTTTCTCATCAAAGAAGGTGGTGTGTTGCAACTCCCTCTCCTGATGGCCTCATGGCCGACACTACTACTACCATACGACCGTTTCCCATCAAGGAAGGTGGTGTGTGGCGACTCCCTCCAGTGATTGCCTTATGACCAACACTTACCATGCGACCGTTTCCGATTATGGAAAGTGGTTTGTGGCAACTCCCTCCCATAGCACTTTGATGGGAATGAGGAAGATGCGAACTGATGTCGGCAGTGAATTCACGTCGGCTAACGAAGGTGTAATCGACAATATCCAAAGTGAAATTCGATGATGATGATGATAATGGAGAACATGTAACGTTACTTTACCTCAGCCTTTTGAGTCAACTGCTCTAAAGGCACCGTGAAGCCCCTTCCTGAAGGACACTATTGATATAAAGAAGTCCTCATCACGCTCAAGCATGCGATTAATGAGAGGCACGGAAGATCTATCAAGTCCCTTCTTGTGGCTGTTCAAGAAGAGACAGTCCTTTAGGCACCGGTAGTCGGGGAAAGCGGAGTAGTGCTAGAGGATCCTGCATGTATAGTATGGTCATCATAACAGGCAGGGAAGGGTCTGATCAGAGAATCAATGGTAGGAGAGTGAAATCTCGCAC